AAGTGCTCATTTGCAGCAATTGCTTTAATGATCTTCTTCACACCAGTGGTTATTGCGAAGTTGGTTGAGCCCCAGGCTGCTGTATCAATAAGCTGCTTTGTCTTCATCCGGAGGCCATTTACAAACATCTGCATTTGCTCAGTTTGACTCGTGTTGTGTGTGGGACGGGCTACAAGTAACCTCTTGAACCTCTTGTAAGCTTCACCTAGTGATTCTCCTTCTTTCTGCTTAAAATTCACAATTTCATATCTTTTACGAATGTAAATCGAAGCAGAAAAGTATTCATCAAGAAAAGTCTGCTCCATTTGTTCCCAAGTGGTGATACTTCCAGCAGGCAATGAGTAAAACCACTCTTCAGCATCTTCAGCTAGCGTGAACGGGAACATCCTTAATTTCTTGGCTTCTTCAGAGTGCCCCTCAATCTTCAATGTAGTGCTCATGGTGAGAAATCACTGCAAATGCTTATTGGCATCTTCATTGATCTTTCAGGTGAAAGATCTGTTCTCGAGCTAGAGGATGGTTGAAGGATGCAGTTAAAAGTTTGCAACATTGATCGGTTGATTCACAATAGTCAATTGACCTGCTGGAGCATTTGCTCCTCCGTAGTCTCCAAGGAGTCTCTCTAGTGGCGGATTTTCAGCCATTGGCTTTAACTCTTCAGACTCTGAATCTGAAGGATCTGAAGAACCTGCTGACTCCTGTCAATCTAACCGAGCTAGTCGCCTCGCGTGAAAAATTCTTTCTATTTCAGCGTCAAACAAAAATTCAGCTGAGGACTTTCCTCGCATGCAAAGGTTAGGAAAAATCGGTAAAACAAAAATATGGAAATTACAGAAAAGAAATTTTAGTTGCAGAGCAACAAAATTTTAAGTGAACCCAACTTAAACTCAATGATTAGGTAGTCCCCGGAAACAACGTCAAAAACTTGATCGGGGAAAATAACAAGTTCACTATTTTTCCTCTTGTAATAACAGGGAAAATTCCCCGAGTGTCGATCTCAAGGACTGCACATAATTATCGAGGTTAATGCGAGGTTCAATTAAACAAAACTCAATTTGGGGTTTGTTTTGGTTATTGTACTTAACAATAATTAAAAATATGTGAAGTTAAATCATGACCTTTTTTTCCTAGTGTGAATACTATGCTAGGGGTTAGTGTGTGGTTTGCCCTGTAATGACCTTCACTATTGATCTCTTTTACAAGTTCATTACCTTTAACTATCATATCTTTAGATTATTTTCCCCTAAGTCCTAAGTGAGAAAACCTTTAACCATCCATCCTCAATCCTAAGTCCTTAGAAATATCTGATGGAGTCAAGCCTTTATCTTATCAAGGGTTAAATTTGGTGACTGTAGGGTATCCCTAGTCTTAAGTTATATCTACTACAGTCTAATCATACAAAAACCTTAACAATTATGGTCCAACTGGTTGTTAATCGTAACTCAATCCTAATTGGTCCGGTCAGGAAAGCATTAGAAATGTTGAACGGTTAAATTGTAAGGAAACTATTGTATTAAAATCAATAATTCATAGTCAATACATTCGTAAATCAGGGACACCCCCTAGAATTAGGGTGTTAGTCGCACATAATATTCAAAGAGATTTCAATAATAATAACAATAGACATTACACAAATTAATGGTGAACTCTGATCTTCAATTGCTTCCGCTCATGAAAGGTCTTCGTTCTTCCAAAACTTCATAAACTTCAGTCTTTTATTGTTAAATTCTCCAGTTGTCAAAAGTCCTCTTTTTCTTCTCCAAATCAGGTATTTATAGTGTCAGGTCATCCCTCTGGGATGCCAAATGTCTATAGTGTCCTTAATGATCCAAGAATACATGAAAACCTTAAAATTGGACTTTCACACGCCTAAGCTGACATGGGCCGTGTCACCAGACACGGGCACCCGTGTCAGTGTATGTGCTTTACTTTGTTCCATCATTTGGCCCAACTGAATTGACACGGGTCGTATCCGTGGACAAGGGCACCCGTGCCAGCTCGTGTAATTCTTCCTCCAACGTTCATACTTCAGCTGACTTGACACGGGCCGTGTCTTGTGACACGGACGCCCGTGTCGCCTTATGTCTTTCTCTCTATCTTCACTTTACCAAGTCCTCCCCCTGACACGGCCCGTGTCAGGCGACACGGCCACCCGTGTCAGGGCTCTCGAAACACGTTTTCTCGAAACTCTGACTTTTGCACCTTTCTGCTCCGATTTATCTTGTTTTATTCTTTTGAACCTGAAAATACTAAAATACAAAACCAAAGCATAAAATGCGATAAAATAAAATAAAACACCAATCAATTAAACGAAACAATAACTAAAATAAATTCTAAATTCCCGTGTAAAAATCATTGGTCAACCCTCCATACATTTTCCAGAACCTGTCCAAAAGTCATCCTTCTCTTTTGCCTCACTCTCACCCGGCGAAGTCTGAGCAAAGATGCTTCGACCGACGACTTGGGGAGCTCGCCGGACGAGGCTCCTAAAACAACAACTCTACTGTTGCATTTTCAGCATAGAACCAGTCCAAGTCTCTTGCGATTCCACACCAGAACAGACCAAAAACTCACATAATTTTATATGTTATCTTAACACAACAACAACACGTCATAATATGCATCATATACACCAGTTCATAACATCACACCATCGATATATCATCGATTTCATCACAATCATCTTGTTATCAAATTCATCATAAAACCTTAAACAGTCTACATACATCTAAACCCTATATCAATCATAATAATAAAGATATCCCCTTACCTTAGATTCTCCTAACAACCAATTATTGTTCCAAGCTCTACAAATCTCTCTCTCTCTCTCTCTCTCTCTCTCTCTCTCTCTCTCTCTCTCTCTCTCTCTCTCTCTCTCTCTCTCTCTCTCTCTCTCTCTCTCTCTCTCTCTCTCTCTCTCTCTCTCCTTTCCTCTCTGTGCCCTAGTTCTTCACAACGTTCTTCTCTCTTTCACGATTGCACAGAATAAAACACTGACACTCATTTTTATTTGTTTAATTCTAGGATCCTTTCTATGGTCTTCTCATCTCACTCTCACTAATTCTCATAACATTACCACCTTGCCCTTGACACTTCTACACTATTTATTCTATTTATTTTATTAATAATAATAATTCTAAATAATTAAAACTAATTATCTAAAATTATTAAAACACCCAATATCATTTAATTTCCACTATACCGCACATAGCATCACATCACACATCATATTAATCAAAACATCACATATACTCACAAATACATCACAATACTCGTCATAAATCTATTAAATAATCAAATAAATAATCTAATTATTTTGGAGTGTTACACATGTTATATTTCCTGACCAAGGCTAGTGTTTCTTCCAGGTCTTTCTTATGTGTTCCGCCTTCGGCGGTTTTCACTACCATGTCATAAATGTAGACCTCGAGGTTCTGTCTGATCTATTTAGAGAATACCGTGCCCATCAGTCGTTGGTATGTAGAGCCCTCACTTTTGAGCCCGAATGGCATAACTTTATAGTAAAAACTCTTTATCTTTGTCATGAATGCGGTCTGTGGAGCGTCTACTGGGTTTATTTTGATTTGGTTGTAGCTGGAGTATGCATCCATGAAGCTCAATACTTTGAATCTCGACGATCTGTCGATTAATCTGTCAATATTGGGTAGTGGGTAAGGATCCTTGGGACACACCTTGTTGAAGTCGCTGACATCCACGCACATCCTCTCTTTTCCGTAATGTTTCTTCACCATAACTATATTTGTCAGCCATGTTGGGTATTTGATCTCCTTTATGAACCCAACCTCTTGTAGCTTTTTGACCTCCTCCTTAATGGCTTTTCTTTTTTCGTTCCCTTCCTTTCTTTTTCTCTGGACCATGAGTTTTACTCCTGGATGTATGGCTAGCTTATAGCTTACTACTGAGGTATCAATGTCGGGCATGTCAGTAGAGACCCAAGCAAATAGATCTTATTTTTTCGTACTAACTCAATAATTTCAACTTCTTCTTCGGTGGAGAGAGCTCCTCTGATTTGAGTCATTTAATGAGATTTCAAACCGATTTGTACATGCTTTAGTTCTTCGACTGACGTCAGACTACCCTCTGGATAATTATACTATCACATGTTATTTTACTTAGTCAAACATACATAAAGTACGATGAAGTAAAAAATATATGATATAACTATTATTTAAGATAGAGAGTCATCACCAAAATTAATATAAAAAAATAAATATAAAAATCATCCTTTTTCTATATATGGAGATTCAACTCAAAACTCAAAACATCCACTTTTATCACAAACCTAACCAATACTTTGATCATAAGCATCCACTTTTATCATAAACCTAACAATATTTTGATCATAAAGTACACATGCCAAGACTTGCTCCCAAACAATACTCGACAACAATGTATATATTTATCTAATTAGTATTACTTTCTTGCAAAATTGTATATCTAGAAAATATGTCTATATGATCAATTATTAAATTAATTTCAACCTAAATAGCTGGATAATCTACAACTCAACTCAATGCATCACTACATTACAACTAGTTCTATTTTTATAACTGTTTTCATTAGAATAATTCACACAACATTTATCACCCATGTTCAGTCCACTTGATAAAATCATTGAAACACATCACAAAATATAACCAATTCCCGGCAATCAAGTTGCTCTAGCCAGCAAACGAAGTCTTCTTTCACAACACGAGGTGGTCCTATTATTACTCGTCCTTTTGTTCTATCACACCAACAAAAAACCACACAGTGGGTCCAATAACAGATCTTAATTACCATTTTACCCCCTCTTCCTCGTTCCCCTCAATACATAGATGATACATAGATCCTCTCTCTCACACAAACCAACTCCTCGCGTCACTCCCACTTGCTCCACAAACAAACACACCACATTACAACACTCCCACATTATAACCATTACATAACATTTTCCATCCCCTTAATCTCATCTCTCTGTTTCTCAACAGAACCAGAGAATGCAGCACTTCACTCTCGTTACGATCTTCCTCGTACTTTGCCTCACCCTTCTCACTCTCACCGATGGAGGCTCCATAGGAATAAACTACGGTCGCATAGCAAACAACCTTCCATCAGCAACAAAAGTAGTTCGTCTCCTCAAATCACAAGGTCTAGAACGTGTCAAAGTCTACGACACCGACCCATCAGTTCTCCGAGCATTATCTGGATCTAATATCAAAGTAACCGTTGACCTCCCAAACCAACAACTCTTCGCTGCCGCAAAAGCACCTTCTTTTGCACTCTCATGGGTCCAACGAAACATCCTCGCTTACTACCCACACACCCAAATCGAAGCCATTGCAGTCGGAAACGAAGTCTTCGTCGACCCCGCCAACACCACAAAGTTCCTCGTACCCGCCATGGAAAACATCTACCGAGCCCTCCAAAAACACAATCTCCACAACGACATTAAGGTTTCCTCCCCTATAGCACTTTCCGCTCTCGGTAACTCTTTCCCTTCCTCATCAGGATCCTTCCGACCCGAGTTAGTCCAACCCGTTTTCAAACCCATGCTAGACTTCATCCGCGAAACGGGTTCTTACCTTATGGTAAACGTTTACCCTTTCTTCGCTTACGAATCAAACGCTGACGTTATCTCTTTAGACTATGCTCTTTTCAGACCAAACCCGGGTCAGGTGGATCATGGTAACGAGTTACGATACACAAACCTCTTCGACGCTCAAATCGATGCCGTTTTCGCTGCACTTTCGGCTCTAAAATACGACGATGTGAACATTGTCGTTTCGGAGACAGGCTGGCCTTCGAAAGGTGATAGTAATGAAGTGGGCGCGAGTGTAGAGAATGCAGCTGCGTACAACGCGAATCTCGTCCGTAAGATCTTGACTGGAGGTGGAACCCCTTTGAGACCTAAAGCAGATCTAACCGTTTATTTATTCGCACTTTTCAATGAAAATCAGAAACCGGGTCCCACTTCAGAGAGAAACTTCGGTCTTTTTTACCCCAATGAAAAGAAGGTTTACGACGTTCCATTAACCGTGGAGGCGCTTAAAAATTACCACGACAATCCGTCACCGGTTTCCGGTAGTGCAAACCAACCTGCTCCGGCGGAGGGTGGTGACAATGGCGGTGTTTCGAAGAGTACCACCGGGAACACGTGGTGTGTGGCGAATCCTTACGCGGATAAAAATAAGCTACAAGCGGCTTTAGATTTTGCTTGTGGTGAAGGAGGTGCTGATTGCCGTTCGATTCAACCTAACTCCACGTGTTACAATCCTAACACATTGGTTTCGCACGCTTCGTTTGCGTTTAATAGTTATTATCAAAAACAAGCACGTGCGGGTGGGAGTTGCTATTTCGGTGGTACGTCGTACGTGGTCACGCAAGAGCCTAGTGAGTATTCTAAAACAACCTTTTCTTTCTCATTGTTTTTTATTAGATTCTATAATATTCGGCGTAGTTTAAATTAGTGTTGCTAACGTGAGCTAGGTATGCATGTGAAGAGGGAATCTTTTATGATAATACGTGGCATGATTTTATTGGGTAGTGTGTGTTATTTGGGAACATAGGGTACTATAGTGTTTATATTGATAGGTGAAAAGTACTTTTATGATAACAAAGAGACAAAGGTAAATGTAATTGTAGTAAGTACTAGTTCAAAAATTTGTGAAAAAGTCAATTAGTCAAAGATTGGGTAATGTGAAACATTGGATTCTAAATGTACAGTACTTTCTTTTATTTGAAACTCTTAATGTTATTATTTATGAATTTGATTTTTTGTGCAGAGTATGGTGACTGTGAATATCCTACTGGATATTAAAAGCTGATTTTGCACTTTGTCGAAGGGTGAAGTGAAGAGATTTGGTTGATGATTAGTTAAAATAATGTTTAGTACTAGTTGGTGGGAGTTGGTTAGCTAAATTTACTTTAGAGACTTTAATTAAATTGTATCTAAATTTTTATTATTTTGGAGTAGTAGTTAATTTACATTTGCTTAGACTAGAAGTAGTAGTATTAAGTTTTCATTTTGCTAGTAATACATTCAAGTTTCTTTAATTTTAATCCAAGTTTGAGTAAATACTATATATTTCTTTCTTAACCTTACAAAACTTATATAACATTTGTGGTGAAAACAATCTTTATCATTAACTTGGAAACTGATTTGTTACAACTCACAACACTCGTATTTATGGAAATTGTAAACATCATAAATAACTGCTACTATACCTAACATGGTAGTTTCGATTTAATACTTTGATAGCCCCAAGCCAGCTGCTACGTTTTGGTACATGTGGTTCGGCAGTGTAATCACTGATGACGATTTGTGTAACGTATTGAAGAGTGTAAGCAGCATGTATTCAATGAAGTATTCATGTCATGTTTACTTTACGTGTATTGAAGAGTGTAAGCAGCATGTATTCAATGAAGTATTCATGTCATGTTTACTTTACTTGTAATGATAGTAAATTATTTATAGCATCTCATCGACGTAGAAATATATTTATACGATCTACTATTTACTTTAATGATATATTTGAACAGTTAGATAATTTTACAGATAATTTTGCAAATAATTCTGTGGTTGTTTGATTGAAAAGAGGATGTTCATAATTATAGACTTGTATAGAATGGTAGTTTAAATTAGACATGCAATGGTTGTTTTCCTATGAAACTCATGGTTGGGTATTTGTGCACTAATAATAACAAAATATTAAACAATTGCGTAATATTTGTGTAGTTATAAAAGTATATTAATGTAAATTAGTAAAATCAAACGAATTCTCTCTTGTGAATTTTGTATATTTTTTTCTTTGCACGGTTCTAAAATAACAATTCTAACTCATTTTACATGTAAAGCTCATCAAAGGTAATTTAATTTGATTGCTTATGATTCAAATGATTTTTTTAATGGTGTTTGACAATAAGTGTTGATTCTCCAAACCTTAAGCCATAATATTCTTAATCAGTCATAAATATATCCTACATCATTCTCAATCAAATATTGTCTTACGTGAGCCTTGAGCCGAGACAATCAATCTGTCCCATCACCTATTTCAATTAGACCTTATTCTTGTGGGCAAGTCATCAATCAGGGCGAATTATGTTGGATTTGGGCTGAATTTGGGCCATTCGACCCAGGAAAGCATACATGTACACAGTCAATAAAGCACGAGCCGTATACGGGCGAAATGCTTTCCCAAGACATACCGAGAAGTCAGATATGTAAATAATCCCTCAAGCATGAACCATGTAAGGGCATAATACTCTTTTTAAGAGACAACTGTTTTTCTAAGACCGATTAGCAATTATTTGACATGCATTCACATATGCTCTTTTTCGGTTGAGCTTACTCTAATTTTCTAGATATGGCAACCTTAGATCATGGCCTGCCAACCTCTGTTGGTTGCTTGACTATTCCTCTTTCTATAACTGTGTTGATTGCTAAATGTCTCGTAAATAAGAACCACTCAAGACTTATCCCTACTTCCTGTAACCCTAATAAGGTATCCTTAAATCCAACAATCATTTTTTTGCCACTCAAACTCTATAAATAGGTTTCATCATTTCTCGGTATTTTTCTTACCTCTCCACTTTACCTTGAATTTTTTTATATGTACCTTCATGTTGTTCTCCTCCTTAGTCCCGAATCTTTAACAAATGCTTACGAGATCAGGTAACACCCACTTTCTTATGTGTTTCTCTTTTCTTCTTTCATGGTGTTTGTTCGAGAGTGTGACTCATTTGGGACAGTCATAGAGCCCTAAAATGATGCTGAGACATGTGAGTTGTGGGCTAAATGCTTGCAAAACTCAAAATTGGATACATGGAGGCTAGATTTGTAGTTCGTAGAAATATAGCTCTTTGATAATCATGAGAGTTCGTCTAATGATAGTTCAATGAACGAATCACCTAGTCAAAGCAACACCAACTTAGTGTCTTCTTTCCAAAGTCCAGTCAAATCCGCCATGGCGCTCTTCATCTCTAATTAGGGCTCATTTTATAAAGAGGCCATGAGTATTGATTCAATCTATCTTTAAGATGGTTGGATTCAAGCCTTCTGGCTAGATTTGGAGTTGTCTAACACTAGGAATGAGACTGATGTAATATCAGAACCATGTTTTATCTGGTGAGAAGATCTGCATGTGATTGCCTAGGGGAGTTAACGAAAAATACTTTTTTATATTGGGGTGATCAAGCATTTCAATATTTGTATCCCCTTAACCATCCTAGAGTCCAAAATCCTGAAAATTTTAAATGTTGCTCTTTCCCATCTGCATTCAAACATCTAGACTTTTATCTGAGATTCTAAGGTCTTGTGTTGGGGTCTCAACATCACTCCTACGGAAAATTCATACCACAACGGTTGGAAAAGGGATACCATAATGCCTGAACAACTATTGTGAGGTGAGGAGTGGTTGTATGTATAGTACTATGGAAAAGGCATTTAACAACTATTGAGAAAGATATATAACCACGCGGGACCAGACATTGTTATGTAGCGTGTGGTTGTATATGCGGTACTTATAATCATGGTCCAGTGACCGTCGTAGTAATCTGGAATGCACGCGACTTATAACAATAATTATTCATAATAATCATTGTGATATAATATTTGAATAAATATCAATTTTTCATACCAGAATCAGAACTAAACCAATTTTTAATTTATATCAAAACTTATATTAATTACAAGTACACAATTCCATTAAGTAAATAATGAAATTTGGACAACTCGAGAAATGCAATCTTTCCAACTTCTAAGAGAAAAAAAAAGCGTATAGAATTAAAGAAAAAATGATGAAGAACTTTGGTTTTTAAACTTTCAAGATAAGAAGATGAAGAATCAGAAGGAACAACATAAAAGCGGAAGAACCAAGACACAAAAAAAACTCTATCCAAAGGAATCAATATGTGTTATCCTGCTCAAGCCACCAACAATACTAAGAATCCAAATGTTGTTGTAGAGGGTGTTGTGCTGCCAAACCAGCCTCAGAATCAAGATGTTGCTGTAGAGGCTAGTTTTGTGGTGCAAAACTATCCTCAAATTCAAGATATTGTTGTAGAGGGTGTTGTGTTTAGACTAATGAGAGCTCTCAGGGTGGGGAGAAGAAGAAGAAGAAGAAGAAGAAGAAGAAGAAGAAGAAGAAGAAGAAGAAGAAGAAGGTTGAGAAGGCAAATAATTTTTTTTCTGATTCTGATGATGATGAGGCTGACTATGATTGGTCTAACTTTATCTCAGGGAGATGATTTAGATTTGATTATGGTTTTTGATCATGTAATGAAAGTCTTATGTAATGAAGTTTTAATCTGCTTAACTCTCTTAAGGTTATCAACTTAAGCATTCAACTTAAACATTCAACTTAAACTTAAAAATATATATAAAAACACATTATTATAACTAAAAATTATTGTGATGAACTTACTCGTAAGAAACGGTCTGTTAGTTGCATATTCCAATCAAGTCCACTGCATCTTTAACTCTTACATTTCATAACAAAGTATATAAAATATTAAACATAAATGATATAAGATAACATAAAATTTTCAAACTTCAAACCCTAATTCAACTATTACATTTTATAACAAAGTAAATATTAAGCAAAAAGGAGATAAGAAAACATAACATCTTCAAATTTTCAGAAAATCTCTCTGACTTCAGTTTGTTCTTCAAATTCTTATTCTTCTTTTTTGAATTTGTATACATAACCTTCAAATACCCAACAGAATCCAACTCTGGCATCATAGTACTCTCATCTTCCAATTTTTGTTCATCATCCCATATGAACAAATTACATGTTTCACCAAGTCCACCAATTTAGACATCTTCAAAAAAGTCTTCCTTTATTTTGACCCCTCTTGCATAGGAACGAAACCATACGACAGTCACAAGCACATAAATTTCTAGATCGAGATTTTACACTCTTGAATGAGACATTGAGACAACTATGGACAACAACAATGAGTGTTATGGTTGTTTTTTTCTTCCCGACGACGTTGGTGTTAGGGTTTGTTTCTTTTATCAGTGGAAGATGGGTACTTACTGTTTAATATATACAAAGAATCACCAATGTGTAACAACGGTTGTACAAAATAGTCGTAGTGATATACCTCTTATTTTTTATTATATATAAATATAATTGAAAAGGCGTGCATTAAAGTAACAGGAATAAACTATTTGAGCGAGCCGAGGATCGAACCCAGGAAAGCTGGACTGTATCACCACGGTTAACGAATTAACCGTAATTATACACTTAAATTTTCAATTAAAAAAATTAAAATGAAATGTTAGCGCATTAGTTTAGCAGTGTCACTACGTATTTAGGGCGAACCGCAGTGATCTTGGCGTTGTTGTATGCACGTTTTGTAGTAGTGGTGTGACGCTTTCTACGACGATCGTGCGACCGTGGTGATAAGCTATGTAGCGCTCTACCTATCACAACAGTTATATTATACAGCCATTGATAGGTTGGAAACCCTACAACAACAATTTATTTGAAATATAATTAACATTTCACCACGATTATAGAAGATAAGCGTTCTGGAAAGTACCCTGCGTTTATTATAAGATATCTAGATATCTTGTTTTTCCTTACACCTCACTAAACATATATAACAATTACAATTGATGTGGAAGATAATAACTTGAAAAATTAAATTATTCTTGAAAAACAACTTAAACGAACCAGTGTTTTTCAAATTGCATTCAACCCGTAATTCATCTCTTGCTACTTAACACATAGTATTTGGGTCAATGCCTCGAGTTCTTCAAATCAATAGTTCATTCCTAGTTTATTTTGAAAAGCATCAATATGTTAACTA